TTTCAGGAGGTCAAAGTAGTATTATCTTCAGGTCTTACTGGTTGTTAAACTGGTCCAGAATAGCATTTGGCCAGGAGTTAACTTTTCTGTACTATTGAAGTAAAACCCTTCTGATTACTCTATCTGATACTTTATGTATGAGGTTTTTCTGCTCTGGCTGGAGGAAATGGGAACTATTACTGGCCTAGTGTGAGTTCCATGGATCAATCCCTATAATCCTTGTTTCTTTTCCTGGTTCAGAGTAATATCTTCACTTCTATATGCTAAGCATTTCTCTGTTGTATGCTTGAGGAGACTGTCTACATCTCTCTAGAGTTCTCTCTGCTATTTTCTTTGTTCTATTTCTTTATCCTGTGAATTCTGTCCTCCTCTCAGACTGATAGCTCCAACCCATTACATCGGATACTCTTCTGGGCTCCACTTAATTTAGCCCTCTCTGCACTACTACTTGGAAATTTTTTCAGGTGGTAAGCTGGGGAAATTTTAGGACATGCCTTGTTTGTTCTTCATCTTTCAGTATTCGCTGTCTTTTGTTGCCAGTTGTCCATTGTCTTTAAAAATACCATTTCATATATTTTGTCCTGTGTTTTAGATGTTTCAGTCAGGAGAACAACTCTAGTCCTTGTCTACTTCATTTTGTCCTGAAATAGACTGGGAGGACTGTTTTAACTGGATGATAGTGGTTCAAAATCTCACTTCCAGAATTTACAGTGTTGGGTGTGGGAGAGTTATTGTGGTTTCCCAGAGCTATGGAACTTGCTGTGAAAAAGGAAGAATGTGTTTCTGGGATATTAGCCAGTGATTAAGTGGCTAAGGTCTCTGCCTTATATATCTCTATCTCTACTACAGTGACATGCCATGCATGAACATAGAGTGCGTTCTTGGTATACTTATCATTATAGAACAGAATTCAGTATATGGTAGGGTCTGTGTAGGAATCCCCTTCCAAGATGGTTCTTTAAAGAATTTTTTAAAAGCTGATCCCAAGGTTTATAGGGACAACAATATGACAAGGCTCCAGAGTTCATTATTTCTTGTGTTAGATTATAGAAGTGTCACAAATGTTTGTGCAAAATTCTTACTTGTAGTCATTTCTAATTTTCTTTTAAACTCTTCAGACCTCCATTCTCGATGTGGGACTATCTAAACCCATACTAGCACAGAGATGCAGTCAGTAAGTTTTGATTCCTAAGTCTGGAATATTAGGTAAGAGCAAGCATTTTAAATGCATTTCCCAAAGAAAATAAATTAGTTTATTCATTGAACAGGCTTTAAAAAATTGATTCAATGTTTACTTCTATAGGCAGAGTATTATAATTAGTTATTTGTTGGTTATACTTCACTTGTATATATAAAAACATTGTTAAATAATCCAATATAAGACTTATTCTTTTCCTTAGAAATACACTTTTGAAAGTACATTTTTGGTATGTTTTAAGGAATTTTATAGTGTATATTATTTATATTTTAAAGGAAAGTTATGTTTCAAAATATCTCTTTTCCACAGATTGCGCGCGCGCGCGCACACACACACACACACACACATACCAGTACACATGCAAACACACAAAATTTATGCACTACTTTACTAACATCAATAAAATATGGTTTAATGAATGACTGGTTATTTTTAAGCTGTTGGTTAAAATTAATTCATTATTTTAACAAAATTTGAACAAAGCTACAATAGGAATTTTTGTTTGAAATTGGCATAATTATTTTATACTATGGGCAGGAAATTAAACAAATGAAAAAAACTAAGAAATTTTGAAAAGTTTAAAGGGCACTCTTCCTTTTCTCTATTTCTTTGTTAAAATTCTAAAGCTTTGAACTTAGTGCAGTGGTGTCCACCTGTAGTCCCAGCTTACTTGGGTGGCTGAGGCAGAAGGATCTATTAAGCCCAGGAGTTTGAGACTGGCCTGGGAAATATAGTGAGATCTGCCTCAAAAACAACAACAGCCTTTATAAAGGCCCTATAAACAACACATCACAGTTTCAAAGTAAGATTAGAAGCATACTATGTGGCCTAACAATATCCTATTATATATGACATATTATTATGTATAATTTTATACATATTATTATGTATAAAGGAAGTATCATAGATTTGTGGCAAACAAATTGTTCAGTAAATGGCATTTGAGAATTGGTTAGTTTTTTCTTAATTGAAAATACCATTTCTATCATATAAAATGTAAATTTTTCTTATATTAAAGAGCTAAGTCTGGAAAATAATTACTGTATCCTAAAAGAAAATACAGATAATATTAAGTTGACCATTGAATGGAGAAGGTCTTATTAAGCATTATAGCAGTTAAGAAAATGCATGCAGAAATGATGAATAAATTACACTATATAAAAGTAAGAACTATTGAACATTAAAAAAACAACACATAGTTGGAAAATATTTGCAACTGATATGATGGAGAAATGACATTTTTAACACTTAAAAGGCCTGTACCAATTGACCAAATAGTTAATAGTGGAAAACAGGCAAAAACATTACTGTTTTTTCATGAAAATAAAAACATACTACTAAACACAAGAAATGTTCACTATAAGAATAAAAATTTAAATTAAATCAACATTGATCCCATTTTTGTATATCAAATGTAGAAAGATTTTTAGTGATTTATTTCATGGTGTCATAGATGTGGAAAGACAAATGCCATCTTAAACTGCTGATGGGAGTGGAAACTATTGTAACCTTTTTGGAAACCAATTTTATTGTGTATATCAGGAATCTTGGACTATTTATACCTATTTATACCTGTTTTATTCCTGAGGAATTCATTTTGGGAAAATAATCGTTATACTTATAAAGATGTATGCCTATTTCATAGTTATTTTAAACAGTGAAAAACTGGAAATATCCTAATTATCCAGGAGAACAGTGAAGTACATCACGGCAAATGAGTATGGTTAATTCTGTGCAGTTGTTGAAAACTGTTTAAGTCAGGATAAATAATATAATATTATAACATAATATTAAATTCTGATAAAGGAGAACACTAATATGTGTAGCATGATTTCAAGCATGTTAATATAATTCATACATTCATACACATATATACACAAATAATGTAATAAAACTGTAATAACAGATTAAGAAAGTTTTTCTTCATACTGAAATTTTGAATGATTTTCATTTTGGAGAGGGATTTATGAGTAGGATAATTAAAAATATGAAAGCATTATTGGCAGTAAACTTAAAATTTAGAAAGAAATCATAGTATGTCAGGTGATAGAAGTGGCTTCTGTGGAAAAGATCATTTTAGGGGCACATATCCTATCCCTGTGTTTAAATCCTTAACCTTCATACTTGGTATATTATTTGGGGCAAATTAGTTACTCACTAAATCTTATTTGTAAGATGTGGATAATACCTACTTCATAAAGTTGTTTGGAAGACTCTTAAAATAATGAATGTACATTGTTTAACATATAATTAATTGTAGTTGGTGCATAATTGTTACTTAGTAAATTTCTTATTTGTATAAATCATGAGGCTTTGTACCCAGACAACTTCATGGCTTGATGTTAGGTTTGACATAAACTTTAACCTAGACAATATTTCTTCCTTTGAGTTTTTTTTCCCCTGATGATGGGGATCAAACCACCCATGCCCTAATGAATGCTAGGCAAGTTCTCTACCCCTTAGCCACATCCCTAGCCCTCTTCCTTTATACTTGTAAAACACTTTTACTTAGGGTTTACTCTTGTGTTAGGTTTCAATGAACATTTTGATTATTCTTGCCCGTAAGTTTAAACAAGTAACAAGTATTGTTTTCTATAATATAAACCGTCCAAATTAATACTTCTGAAACTTAGATAATGAATATTTGTTTTTTTTCCATTGATCATTTTAAAATGTATCTTTAATTGCTTACTCTCTTGAGTTTTATTAGTAGTTTGAATTATATATTGTGAAATGTTGTGGCCATAATACTAAATGGTGAAACTGGTTATTGGATTTTATGATATTTTATTCAAATTTTGAGCCTTATTAATGACCCATTTTTTAATGAAAATAACTCAGGGCTAAAAAAAAAACACTTTTGCCAATTGGAAGCCCTTAATAAACTCTAAAATTTACATATAATCATGGAATAGTTCCCAATTTGGTGTATAAATTAACATTTACTTGTGAATGAATATAGATGTAAACTGTTACAACAATAGCTTCTTGTTGTACATAAAATATTTTACAGTTTAAAAATATTTTTGCCCCATATAAACTAATTTAATTCTGACAAGAACCGAGGGAGATAATACAGATATTTTCCTTATTTTTTAGACTTAGAAACTGAGGCTAAGGGGGCTAAGTGATGTCTGATTTTAAACTGTGTTTTCTGGTTTCAAGTTTAGTACTATATTCATTTTGTTATAACAGCTCTCTTTCCAAGCACAGAAAGATTTTGGAATACAGTGTCATTAAATTCATAAACTTTGCTAACAGAAGAGGCTTAGAGGTACCTCTTAGATCAGAGATGAGTTTAGAATTGTGTGTGATATAATAACTACTAGTTCAACAACTCATAGTGGTATATTAGAGACTTTCAGTTTGTGTAGCTGAATGAAATGAAATACCTGAGAAGTGAGAGTAGATGGTGAAAGAGAGAGTAACAAATAATGGAATTACCAGTGTTAAAGCAAAATATCATATACTTCAAATACCTAAGTGTACCACAAGATAATCAAAAAGGGTGAATTATATGTAGTATACTTAGTATAAGAAGATATAAAAACATCATGTCTTAGAAAGATTAACATTAAAATGGGTAATATTTAAGAAAAAAGATTCATAAAGAAATTAGTTTCACCTATCTAGAAATCTTAATTCTTTGTATACATAATCATTATTCAAATCAATAAGAATTGACTACACTCATTTTCTTATTATTTTCCCAAATTTGTCTACTGGTTTTTAAAGAAGTACATTTTTTAAAATACTCAATATTAGAAGAAAGATCAAATGGTATATTATTATTTTATTTCAGGTTCTGTTTACAGAGGAAGATGTGAAATTTTACCTCGCAGAACTGGCCCTTGCTTTGGATCATCTGCATCAATTAGGAATTGTATATAGAGACCTGAAGCCAGAAAAGTAAAACTATATTCTCCTTATGTATCACTGTTTTTTATATTTCTACTATTAGAACTACATTTTGACATAACCCATTAAGTTTTTTTAAAAAAAAATTATAAGACATTCTGTAAAAATTACATGTTTTAATTTTTAAATATTTTTTAGTTGTAGTTGGACACAATACCTTTATTTTATTTATTTATTTTTGTATGTGGTACTAAGGATTGAACCCAGCACCTCACACATGCTAGGCGAGTTCTCTGCTGCTGAGCCACAATCCCTGAATTACATAATGAAACTGATTTGTGAAAAGTAATTTTCATATGAACAAACCTTAGTTTTAAGTTAATTACTTAAAATTTTTTTAATATACCAAATAATGACCTGTTTTATATAGGTCATTATTTCATAATAATGACCTGATGTTTTTATATAAATGTGTTATATGAAATATTTTATTCCATCTTACTGAATGTGAATTTTGTTTTGCAGCATTTTGCTTGATGAAATAGGACATATCAAGTTAACAGGTATGCAAATTTTCATATGTACTAAACCCAATGTTTTTCATTTTTCATTATTTTATTGTTTGTCTCAGTCTGTTTTTTTTTTCTTTCATCATTCGATTTGCATTTTGTTAATCTAGTGAAATAAGTTTAATTAAAGGTTAGGTAGCTTTTATTAAATTTTAATTATGATTTAAAATTTAAAATTCAGGCACTGTACAAATAAAAATGTTTGATTTTCTAGCTAAAAATACATGATCTTATTTTCAGCATAGACTGAAAGATTTTACCATACTCATGATGTTTGAAATATAGTGACAACCTCTCTCCCCATTTATTTACTCTGCAAACCCTTTTCTGTTCTATATCTATAATTTTATTATTCTGAGAGTATTATATAAACCAGTTTTGTAGAGCCACATAGCAATCACACTCCTGTTTAGCTGGAGAAGTAAAAACTTACATTCACACTAAAACCTATCCATGAATGTTCAAAGCTCCTCTGTTTGTAAAAACCCAAGACTGGAAAAGACCCAGGTGTTCTTCAAAGGGTGAATGGATAAACAGTGATGCATCCATATAATGGAATCCTATTCAGCAATGAAAAGGAAAGTACCATTAATTCTTGGTATAATTTGCATGGGTTTCAAAGGCATTTTGCTGAGTGGACCAATCTCAAAGTTTACATATGCTTTGAGTAGATGGTAAATTCTACATTTAATTATCAGCATGCAAGAAAAAATGAAGATTTGATCTTTACAGACAATTTTATACTGGTAGAAGTTTAGAAGGTTAGTTGCTCTAAATTCCTTAGTGCACTGCATCAATGTAAAATTAAAGTATAAAGGTGTTACTTTGAAATCAAAAGTAAATGTGTCAAAGTTAATATAAATTTTAGTGAATCTTATTGATTCATAGCCTGATTCTCTTTTTCATATATCTAAGAAACAATGTAAGTTTGCAAGAGATTGAAAGCTGAAAAGAAAAAGTATGAAGAAAGAACAAAAGAATTTTGAAATTTTATATAACATATAATTTTTTTATTTTAAAGCAATTGAACATTAATCAAAAAGCTAATTGGAATTTAATTGCTCCTTTCATTTTTTTCTTAATAAGTCATATCTGTTTTGTCAGAGATGACAAAAGGAGATGGAAAAAAGAGTAGAATAAATTTTACCTTTATCTCTCCACCACAGTAAGTTTAGTTGGGTGAATAATTATGCTAAGTTGTATTATATTTAGTCTTCTAATTGGAATTCTGCTTTTGTATAGCTTTTAGAGACTTAAACTGGCTGAGGAGGAAAGAGTAGTTAGGATCAATGTTAGTTTATAAGCACTGGACACAAGGTATGTGATAGTAAGAAAATATGACTTATTATTTCTTTTTACAATGCAGAGTATTTTTGTTACAGTTGTACCACTATTTATTTTAAAGGAAATATACAGTAATGAATATTATTTGGTGATTTATAGTTTTATGATTATAACCTAATTCAGAGTTTTGTGATAAAAAGTACACTTGTGAATTAAACTTCAGAAGTATTCCAGTAAGGTTTGTTAAAGTGAGACCCTTTACAACAATTATTTTAAAACTTTCTTCTATTACATTTTTTCTTTAATTTCTTTATACTTTCTTCCTTCCTCCCTTCCTTTTAATTTTTCTTCTTTTCTGCCTTTTTTCCCTGCTTTGTCTTTCCTTCTGTATGTCCTACCCCCTTTCTGTCTTTCTTTTCCTATTTTCTATTTGATATTTTAAACACTATAATCAAAATATAGCAGGCTGATTGCTGTTTTCATTGATACCAGTGGGCTCTGGGTGGACTACAGTGATTTAGGAATGTCTTATCTAGGCAGAATCATCTCCAACATTGTAAACTTTCCCAAGAGTAATCTTAGACAAAAGCATTGGTCTTTTTCCCCCTACCTGTTGATATTCAAGCTTCTCAAGACAGCTGGATGTTAGTAGCATTGACCTATAATCCAATTTATTCTGGAGGCTGAGGCAAGAGGATCACAAGTTCAAGGCTAGTCTGGGAAATTTAATAAGACTGTCTCAAAATAAAATTAAGAGGACTGGGGATGTAGCTCAAGGTAAGAGCACCCCTGGATTCAATCTCTGGTATTGCAAAACAAACCTTAGGAATGGACCTAATGTTTAACAAGCTACTGTGGAATGGCAATGGACTATAGAAAAGTTTCTGCTTTAATGGTGCTTTCAGGATTATTTGTCTCATACTGAGATTAGATTGTATAGCCAAACATTACTAAAAGGAGAGTAGATATCCACAGATATCTGCATACTTGCTTATGCACTATTTATATTGTACACGACTTAATATTTCTGAAAACTTACCCCCTATAGTATATAAAAAAATCTTAATTATATAAGGACTTGCCTGTTGGTAGAAAAAATATCTAATAATAATAACACATTAAAAATATAACTTGAACTCAGAATTAAATTCTGTAGTTGCTATAATGTGGTTTTGAGGGCCATAATTTAGGGGTTGGTAAGAAAGGTAGGAATGAGAAATGTATAGAAATTTAAATCACACAGTTCTTAAGTATTTAAGAGAAAATGTGTACATAAGAAAATTATTTTAGTAATTTTTAAGATTACTTGCTAATTTATCATTGGAATTGCTTTTGCTTAATTATAAATCCTCATCAAATTGATTGTGTTCTGGGCATGCATTTTAAAATTTAAAATCTTAGAGTCATTTAAGCTTACAGTCATCTGAAATACACCCTTGACCTCCTCTTCCCAAAACCCTTCCTTTATGTCTCTGATTTCTATATTTTTTTCCTAAACTAGTTGCTTGGAAAAACCAGTGTTTAATATCTATCTCATTTAATCTTGTGGCTTGTTTTATAATGGTAAAATTTTTGTCGTTTAATTGCTGAGCAGACTTTAGTGTTAAACATCAGTTTTGTCAGAAATTTTATGACAAAGGAACTTTTTATCTCTTGGCGTAAATCTCTGGAAAGTAACAGAAAGACAAAAAAAAAATTCTCTCCCTTTTCCCCCTCTCCCTGAAGTGAACGAAGAAGCCAGTATCCTTCTCTATAAGATATGCAGCTGAACTGACCTCAAAGACTGTTATTATATTTAATTTTCTAAAAGGAATGTGCATGTCTTAAAAGTCTCAAAATACAGCAAGTTAATATTTAAGATATTAAAAAGATTTTTAGAAATTAAAATTATAGTATATAAAGTTATTAAATAAGGGTAAGAGATACTTTAAATGAAAATATTGAGCATTTGTGAGAAAATCTGCTTTGAGGGGCCCTAAAATTGTTATTGTTCTCTTCTATCATAAGATGTAATATTGGTCTTGTAGCTTTTTATTTTATTTATTTTATTTCTTTTTTTTATTAGTTACACATGACAGTACAATGATCTTGACATATCATACATTTGAATCAGATGGGATATAATTTCTCATTTTTCTAAGTGTACAGGTTACAGAATTACATTGGTCATGCAGTCATGAATATATCCACAGCAATAATAATGTCTGTTTTATTCGGCTGTCCTTCCATTCCCCCCCCTCCCCTCCCCTCCCCTCCCCTCCCATTACTTCTCTCTACCCAATCTAATGTGACCCATATTGGTCATGTAGCTTTTTATTTTTAAAATTGTATATAATTCACATATAGTAAAACTGATCTTTCTGATCCTTGTAATGGGAATCTGTATCTTGATTGTACCAGTGTCAATATCTTGGCTATTTTATTGTATTATGATTTTGCAAGATGTTATCATGAGGGAACTGTGGAAAGGGTAAATAAGATGCCTGTAATGTTTTATGTAACTGCAATTATTTAAAAATATAAAGTTTTATTTAAAAATATGACTCTGTAAGTCTTAACAAATACTGCACTTTTATAACTAGCAACAAGATAATAGTACAAAATAGTTCTATAGCTCCTGAAATTAGACCATTAAAAATCAGTCCTCCCTTTACTTCAAGCTAACAACAACCTACTTTCTGTTACTACAGTTTTGCCTTTACCACGAAGTATATAAACATAGACATACATTATATGGCCTTTTAAGCCCAGCTGTATTTGTCTAGGATACTGCATTTGAAATTCTTCTGTATTGTTGAATGTATCACTACTTTTTTAATTGCTGAGTGATATTTCCATTTTATGGTGGTATCTTGGTTTGTTTATCCATTTGGCAATTAATGGGTATTTGGATTATTTCCAGTTTGGGGCAGTAATGAATAAAACTGCAATAAACATTTGTATATAAGTTTTTGCATGAACATACATTTTTATTTCACTTGAGTAATCACCTAAGTATGATATACTTGATCATATGGTAAGTGTATAGTTAATGAGAAAACTCCACACTTTTCCCCAGCATGGTTGTACCATTTTGCCTTTCCACTAGCAGTGTATGAGACCCATAGTTGCCCTTTATCCTTTCCAGTTCCTGGTGTTAGTATGTTTTATTTTAGCTATTCTAATAGACATGTAGTTATATCTAATTATGGTTTTATTTTGTGTTTCTCTAATAACTAATGAAACTGAGCATCTTGACATGTATAGGTTTCTTTGGAGAAGTGCCTCTTTAAATCTTTTGCCCATTTGGAAAAATTAGATTATTTTTTTTCATATTGAATTTTGTGGGTTTTATATACTAAAAATATAAGTCACTTATCTAATATGTGATTTGCAAATATTTTCTCCCATCTAGCTTCTTTTTGATTCTCTTAGAATATTTTAAAGACCAGTTTTTACTATGATGACATCCAGTACATAAGCTTTTTTTATTCTATGTATTATACTTTTGATGTTGTATCTAAGAAATTCTTATCTCACAGGTTCACCAAGTTTTTTTTTTTCTACATTTTCTTTTGGAAATTTATAGTTTGAAATTTTATGAGAATACAGGTCTATGGTCCATTTTGAATTAATCTTTGCTTTTGGCATGAGGATGGATTTTTTATTAATACTTTTCCTATTCTGGCATGACTTGTTTAAAAATCTTACCTTCAATGGAATTTTTTTTGCAATATTCCAATAAATCATTTGGCAATATATAGCCACTTCTGTTACAGTGGGTCCTAATATGATCTTAATCACTGCAGTATGCAAAACCATACATATAGTAGAAGTTGTAGAACTTACGGGGGAAATGGAGTTAGAGGTGTAACACTAAAATCTTTAAACAGTGACACACTCAGCAAGTTATGGAATCACTCTTGGTGTTCACCAAAGACACATTGATAAAGAAAATGTGTACATGTTCAATAGAGTTTTACTTGGCCATGAAGAAGAATAAAGTTATGTTATTTGCTGGTAAATGGATGCAACAGCAGAACATAATGCTAAGTGAGATGAAAAAAAAAAAAAAAAACACCCTGAAAGCCAAGGGTCAAATGTTTTCTTGCATATGTGGAATTTGTAGAATTAAAAAAAAAATAGGAAAAAAAATGAATCTTATGAAAATAGACAGAAGACTAGTAGAGTAGTGGAAAGGGTTTGAGAGGAAAAGAGCAGGGGAGAACATGGGAAAGTTACAGGGAATGAAATTTCCAGATTATGATGTATCCATGTACAAATGAATCCATGTACCACAATGAATACAGATTTCATATATAATTTTAATATACTAATGAAAATAGTAATAAAAATAGAAGGGGGTTTAGTAGATTAAAGCATGCACATCATGGGGCAGAGGGAGTTAGCAGTGGAAGGAAAGAGAAGGTACAGGTTTGGTCTTTTCACATAAATTTTGATATCAATTTGTTGAATTAACAAAAAAATCACAGGGATTTTTATTGAAGTTTTTATTGAATCCATAGATCAGTTTTTGGAAAGGTGACCTCTTAACAACATTGAATCTTCCAGCCAATAAACACAATACTTCTCTCTATTTATTTAGGTCTACTTTTATTACTTTCATGAAAGTTTTCAATTTTCAGCATACAAATTTTGCATATATTTTGTATATTTTTGCCTGTAGGTTTCTTGGGATTTGGGGAGTGTTAAAAATGGTACCTTTAAAATTTCAATTTACATATCTCTGTTCCTAGTATATAAAAATAAAATTGATTTTATATTCGTATATTTAGTTTTTTGAAAGCTTTAAACAAAAATGCAACTTGCCTTAGCAAAATTTTGCTTTTTTAATATTTTAAAACTAAATTGCTACCTCGCCTTTGTCTGTTTTAAAATTTAGATCCATATGACAACTTTGATTTAAATGTTATTCTTTCAAAACTGTTGCATGATATTGTAGCACAGACCTGAAGGTAGGTATTGTGATCATGAGATTTAATCCAACAGTATTTCGCTTCTTCAAGTGTATCATTTCTATTGTTGGTCTCATTGTATAGTTTTCTTAGGAGTAATTGTAGACTATCCATAATTGTTTCCATGTTTAACACCTTATTTTTTGTTGTTGTTGTTTTCTATTTTCTGAAGGTTTTCAATGTTTTTATATTGTTGTTGTAGACTTTGGACTCAGCAAGGAGTCAGTAGATCAGGAAAAGAAGGCCTACTCATTTTGTGGTACAGTAGAGTATATGGCTCCTGAAGTAGTAAATAGGCGAGGCCATTCACAGAGTGCTGATTGGTGGTCATATGGTGTACTTATGGTAAGTAGTATTATTTTTATTAATCATGTCAGAATATAGTTCATATTATTTAGAATTTTAGTTTAGTTAAAATTTTGGAATGTGTCACTAAAAATAAGCTTCTGTTAATTCATGATTAATGCTTAAAAGTTGTGGTTGGCTAGCTGTTTTAAAATAATTAGGATTTTAGTCTTTTGAAGTTATTACTACAAAGGTAAATGGCAGCATTGTTATAAACTTTACAAATTTGAGACTTTGAGCAAGGTATTTCAGATTCTAGATTTCAGAATGCTGAGTTTAGCAGTTATAGGATTTTTTTATTTTAATTTGATATCTTAGAGTTTATCACCTTAACATACAATGTTTTATTGTCCATTTGTTTCAGGCATTGCCTAGAATGTAATCCTCTTGAAAGGAAGAATTGTGTTTTGTGTTACTTTTCATCACACAGTAACTAGACTAGGGATCATTTATTAGATGCTTATTGAAGACAGACTGACTAATTTGATATGAGATTACACATAGAATATATAGCAGTAAGTAGGATGATAGGTAAATAGCTATTAAATCAGATATAATTTGCTTCTGACATCTGATAATCCACTTTGCCTATTTATCACTGAATGACACAGTGTATGACACATCAGTGAGGTGGAAACTGATTTGAAGTATATTTGGCATTTTATCTGACCTAGAACACATACAATCTGGTTGGGGAAACAATTGCAATAGCTAAATAAACTATCCAGAAGTACTTTAGGATTCAGAGAAACTTCATAAAAGTTGACCTAGAAAAAGTAGGGGAGCTAGAACTCAGGTTATGCCTTGAGTGATAGGTAAAATTTGAATTGTTGCATGTCAAGAAGGAGAGGATTATGATGATATTAGCAAAGGCTTTGGGAACTAGTTTGACTAGAGTAGTGAAGAAAGAGGGCAAAGTTGGAGGAAGTGAAACTGCAAACCTGTAAGTGTTTGTGTTGTTTTTCTGAGAAGTGATACAGTATTGTAGATTCTTAAACAGGATGCAAGTTAGAGAAAATATGTGCTTTATGAATATTAGCTTTGGCAGCAATATATAAGTGGATTGGAAGTATAAGAAACTAGAAATAGGGTGACCAAAAGAACGCCTTACAAGACACTTGTAAGATTCTAGAATTTAAGAAGAGGAAATCATTTCAAATGAAGTCATGACTAACTTTAATAACAGGAAAAGTGATACAGATGGAAGCAAGGATAAAGATCAAAGAAAAAGGTATCACTAAAATTTATGAAATTTAGGGATTGGAAGAGTGGTACATTAATAGAAAATGGTAATGACAACTAGTGGGGAAAGAATTTATTTTTAACAAATGTAGCATTTGAGGGGTCGTTAAGATTCCCATGTCAACAATGTTATTTCCTTACGTGACCAAGTTTTCTAGTTCTATTTTGACCCAGTCTCATGTAAATCTTGAATAATTTAATATTCATGTACTATAAGTTTCAAGTTTTTTCTAAGAAATTTTATTATATATTCTAAGTTGTGCTAAATTGATTCTGAGGTTATTTTATTCTTTTAGTTTGAAATGCTTACTGGTACTCTGCCATTTCAAGGTAAAGACAGAAATGAGACCATGAATATGATATTAAAGTAAGTATGCACACTCATTTTATTTTCGAAACAAATCACTTGCTTTCAGTTTGGGAAAAATTAATTTGATTTTACATTGAGGTAAAAGAACATTTTAATGTTTTGTTATATTCCCTACAATATAAGGGACACTATTTGCCATTGTGAAAAAAAAGTTAAGATTTATTTTTAGATTTGTCCATTTACAAGTATGATCAGTTTAAGTAAAATTTTTTAAAATCCTCTTTTTCAGAGCAAAACTTGGAATGCCTCAGTTTCTTAGTGCTGAAGCACAGAGTCTTCTAAGGATGTTATTCAAAAGAAATCCATCAAATAGATTGGGTAATGCTTATTTTCTTATCTTTAAAATTATATACTGCAACTTGGGGAGTATAACTACATCTTTATTCTTTCTTGTTTTAAGTGTTAAGTTCATTTGCATTTGCTACACAATTGTGCCTGGAATTGTGCATTTTGTTCTAGAAACAATAAACTTTATTATATAAAAGTTTAAAAGGTTAAAAAATAGACTAGACTAGTTAATCAAAACTTTTATGTATATCAGTATGTATATGTTATGGATTACCTCTTTTGACATAATTCACAGAATCTTACCTTGTATAGGTAACCCTTTTAGATATTTGAGGATAATTATTTTGTTCTTCCTAATATTTTTCAAAGTAAATAGAATGTTGCCATTAATACTTATTATATGACTACTTTCTGATAGCCTTTCTCTGGATCTAGATGTGATCCTATTATCCTATTTGAATTGTTTAGTTAAAATAATAGAATGATTTTATTCCTTGTAGTTTTTAATTTGTCATACAAACCTGAGGTATTGGGTTGAATTATGAAGTAAAGAAAATATACTTTTAATGTTATATTGAACACGAATTCACTACCCTGTACAGTTCATTATGAACATCAGGTTTTTTTATTGTAGTGAAGTAAAAGGACAAATGAATAACATGCCAGAAAAGAAATCATAGATGTTTTCACTTTGAGAAATCTATGAAATGTGTATAGTCCTATTAACAGATAATAGCCAATTAAACCAAGTAGCAAGATTTTTTTAAAGCATGCCATTAAAGTATTCTTTCCATTTTTATAGGTTCAGAAGGAGTTGAGGAAATTAAAAGACATCTTTTTTTTGCAAATATTGACTGGAATGTAAGTTGAGTAGAAATTTTTTTATTAAATAACTTTATATTAGAAGGAGCATAAAATTATAAGTAAAATATATGGACTTTGCTGATAATCCATGTGTCATATTTAGAGTGAGATTCTTTTTTATAAATATTGCAAATCATGGAATTTATCATGAACCAGTAGGTGTGTGGTAATAGTATATTTTTGTTTATCAATTGTTATATCTGTTTAATGTAGTTAATCTTTTGCCCTTATTCTAAGCTAGGGAATATAAGAGGAAGAAAAAGGGAAAGGGTGTGAAGTATGTAACAGTTCTTATAGGAAATGTATATGAAGAATGTAAGGTGTATTTAATTGAAAAATTTAAATGTATTAAGAATCTTACAATTTTATTAAATTTTTGACAGGATAGGAAATCAGACTGATAAATTCTACTTGGTCATGTATAGATTTTTAAAATTTGCTCTTCTCAAACTAATAAGAGTTTCTTAGATTTAGTTTTTGTTTGATTTATAGAGCAGCTTTATATATTTTATGTGTTAATAATAATCATAGTTAAACATTTTTGATATTATGTGGTTCTGTCATGAGTATTGAAATCCCCTCAAAAGGAAAAGAGTATCTATTTTAATGCAGAGATAGAAAGCTGCTATTCACTGATCAAATCATTTCTTCCTCTGGCTTGTAGACAGGTTTTAGTAGGCAATTTTATTTTATTTTATTGTACCAGGGATTGAACTCAGGGGTGCTTAACCACTGAGCCACATCCCCAGTCTTTTTTGTATTTCATTTAGAGACAACATCTCACTGAATCACTTAGGGCCTCACTAATTTGCTGAGGCCTGCTTTCAACTCATGATCCTCCTGCTTCAGCCTCCCAAGCCACTAGGATTACAGGCATGTGCCACCATGCACAGTTTCAGTTGGCAAAATTTGATTATTGCAAAACCGTATCATCTTGTAATCCATTGGTTGTAATACCCCAAAACACCACTGAGTGGGAATGCTGCATGGAAGGTAGCTCTTTGTCATATCTATGTAAATCTTGGGTATCTTTGTATTCCTTTTTCATTTTCTCACAGTGCTCTTCTATTCTTCCTTTCCACTTACCTAGAAAAAAGGAAAGTACATTTCTCCCATTGTTATATCTAAATAGTTTATTTTTTTAGATTTATATTTTTAACTAATACATTAAAACATAAATATGTACTTATGTATGGGGTACCATGCAATGTTTAGAGACATGTATGTTTTTTAATGTTTAAATCAGAGTAAACATGTCTGTCGCCTCTGACATTTATCATTCTTTTTCCTAAAAAATATTAATTTTTAGTTGTAGTTGGACACAATACCTTTATTTTATTTATTTATTTTTATGTGATGCTAAGGATCAAACTCAGCATGTGCTAGGCAGGCGCTCTACCACTGAGCCACAACCCCTTACCCCATTTATCATTTCTTTATACTGAAAATGTTCAAAATCTTTTGTTAAAATTTTTTGAAATGTACAGTACATTATTGTTATTATAGTAAACCTATTATGCAATAGTTCAACAGAACTTTTGATTTCTACCCCAGTGTAACTTAGTACCCATTGATCAACGTTTCTCACCATTCATTGTCTTTAATTTAAATAAATTAGTGGAAAGTTTACATATTTCAATATGTGAAAATTCCTTTAATGTAACTCTCTCTAAATTTTTCTATGGAACTGTGAGCTGTGAAAAAGTAGTTTTCTAAAACATTGTTGCATACATATATTTTCTATCTTTTAAAACTAAATTTACTTTGAACTAACATGTAAAAGCAGAAAATTATACATATTATTTAAGTAACAGTCCTTTGATACATTTATAGTATTTTAATTAAGTTAACGAATATCCTCAAATATTTGTTATTTCTTAGTGGTAAAAACTGGTCTCTGGTGCAATTTAACTCCACTCGTTGTGGGTCAATATTCTGTCTGGATGATCTCTCCATTGCTGAGACTAGGGTGTTAAAAGTCCCTAAGTAGTGTAGTACGAGTCTACCTCTTTTTTAGGTATATTAATATTTGCATTATATATTTAGGTACTTCTATATTGGATACATATATGTTTAGGATTGTTATTTAACTTTGCTGAATTGACCCTTTTATCCTTATATAGTGACTTTTCCTTGTCTCTGCATTTGATAAGATTGGTTTAATGTGATAAAAGTATGGCTACTCTTGTGTTCCTTTTGTATGGACTATTTTATTCTATGCCTCCACTTACAGTCTAAGTGTGTCATTAGTGATGAAGCAAATTTGTTGTAGGCACCATATTGCTTTCCTTCCTGCCTTATATGATGCTTCCTTTTTATATACTAAAAACTGGAACTATAATCTCTGACTTGATTTCATCAGCTTTTGTGAAGGTAGGATTGATGGATGAATAGGTATTCAGTGCGTCTGTGAGAAAAGATTGCCAGAGGAACTTAGCTGCCATCTTGCTCCACCCCACTGTGTTTTTAAATATAAAAATTTTAGCAAATGAGATTGTTAAACAAGACTGCATTTTTATGGGCTTGAGTTGTGGCTCAGTGGTAAGAGCACTTGCCTAGCATGTGTGAGGCCCTGGGTTTTGATTCTCAGTACCACATATAAATAAATGAAAATAATAAAGGTCCATCAACATCTAAAAAATATTTTTTAAAATACTGCATTTTATTCTGTGAATAAAGCCCTAAATAGTATATTTAATGTGCATTTCCATGGGAAATCATAGTACTTTAATTAAAATACATACTTATTGAAAATAGTCTAACTGTTGATTTTTAATAATATAAACATTATTGATTAATTTTCAGGTTGACATTAGGACATATTCCATATGGTTATAGCACCAATGAGAATTCTAATCAGCTTTTTATACCTGAAATTGAATATTTTATTCCTTGTGAATGCAAGTTGTGGCATAATTGCTGTTTTTTTTGGTCTCATTAGATTCTCCTGGTTTGCCAGCTAGTGCAAATGCTCAATTGTCTCTAAATTTTTTAAGAATTTAGATAACATATATCTGAAGGAATTATGAGTCTTATTTTAAGAACTGTGAATATTATGTTCTACTTCACCTTACTTTGTCTAAAGTGTTTGGAAATAGAAATATTATAGATTTCAGATTTTTAATATTTGTATATTCGTATGTAATACCTTCGGGATGGGGCCAGTCTAAACACGAAATTCATTCATGTTTCATATATACCTTGTACACATAACCTGAAGGTAATTTTACAGAAGATTTTTAGTCAGCCTGCATTTTAGCTGCAACCTGTCATGTGAGATTTATTGTGGAATTTTCCACAATAATATCCTGTTGACATTCAAAAGATTTTGGAATTTGGAGCATTTTGAATTAAGATTTTGGACTAGGAATGCTCAACATATATAATAACATTTTAAATGTTCTCTGTTATTTCTAGAAATTATATAAAAGAGAAGTTCAACCACCTTTCAAACCTGCTTCTGGAAAACCAGATGATACTTTTTGTTTTGATCCTGAATTTACTGCAAAAACACCCAAAGGTAAGTAATGCACGCTTACACATAAAATCACAATTTTTATTGTATTGATGATTAAATAAACTATAATCCTTGGTAAAATATTAATAATAAGTTTTCAAGGAGTAATGTACAACGTTTCTTGGCCTCCTGTGAAGTAGAGTCTTTAAATAGAACATATCTATCAGAGAAGCAGGGACTAGAGAAGTGGGAGGCACTTTTTTTCCCATTTCGTAATTCTTTTGACATGCAAATGAAATACAGGGTAAAGGGCAAGAAATAAGATGCGAGATATATTATACAGACTCGGTTTAGATTTTGCTATGGTTTACTGATTGTGTTATTTAGTCATATATTTATTCAACAAATATTGAATGCCTACCAGGTACTAGACAGTGAGGAAGTGGCAGTAACAAAAGAGGACAAAAATTACTGACCACATGGAATATGCATACTAGGGATGAGAGACAAATGAAATAGTATAAATCAAATAGTATGTCAGATGGTCAAATTTAATGGTTTCCTTTACATTTGAAAAACTGCTCACATTTTATACCATAAAATTCTGTATAATTTTAATTATATAATTATTTGAACATTAGATTCTCCTGGTTTGCCAGCTAGTGCAAATGCTCATCAGCTTTTCAAAGGATTTAGCTTTGTTGCAACTTCTATTGCCGAAGAATATAAAATCACTCCAATCACAAGTGCAAATGTATTGCCAGTTGTTCAGGTAAATTCTACTTAATCACATTATTCAGTTTGGGAAAATATAAGTTTGGGGATAATTATTTTCTCTGTTATTGATGGTGGATTTTCCATAATTTTTTTAAAAAGTAATTTAAATGTGTTTCTGTGTGGTTCAGAAAAAAAGAGAGTTAAAAACCTTAAATTATACTTAATGATCTGTATTGGCAAGAAAATGTTGGCAAAATCTAATTGATTGATCATATTGGCCTTGAGGAACCAGAAAGCTTGTAATTTAAGATTGATTCACAATCTATATAACCAATTTATAAATATTAATAAAACTTTTCTAGAATGAGTTATTTTGGAGTTTTTAAGATTTAAGATGAAAGTATATTTAGAACAAAAGATAGAAAATGTGAAAATATTTCATTCTTCTTAGTTGTTTACTTTTTAAAATAAAAACAGATAAATGGAAATGCTGCACAATTTGGTGAAATATATGAATTGAAAGAGGATATTGGTGTTGGCTCTTATTCTGTTTGCAAGCGATGTATACACACAACTACCAACTTGGAATTTGCGGTGAAGGTATTGTCACTAAGCTTAACTTGTTTGTTTTATATTGGCAATTTAAAGTATAGGTTAACTGCAGACATTTTCAGTGGAACAAGAAAGAGAGAGGAGAGATAATATGATGCAAAAGAATTCTAAGAATATTTTCATTTTGAAATTCTTTGCAAGGCTTTTTTTGGTGGAACAATGCATTTCATGAAATTTTTGCTTTTGAATACTTTTAATGTACCATATTAAGATTGAGTGGTAGTGACAGTTACAATTCATTTGGAACACATTATCATTTAATATAGTCTCAGAGAAATGGAATATAATATTAAAGAAAGTTCTTAATTTTTAAGTTTCAGTAATAGAACATATTTAAATATTAATGTAATAAGCAGTATCCTTGAGTTTTAAGTATCTGTTTATATGTATAAACAAATGGAAAATATTCCATTCATTTTAGACAAATAAAATGATTTTTTTCTTTCATCCAATTTCTTAGATCATTGACAAAAGTAAGCGAGACCCCTCAGAAGAAATTGAAATTTTGATGCGCTATGGACAGCATCCCAACATTATTACTTTAAAGGATGTAGGTATTTTGAAATATAGATATAATCTATATTAGAGAAGCTATGACTTGGATCTTTATATTTGTACTGTTTATAATGTCATACTATAAAATGTGAAGACTTTTAAATTTACCACATTATTTCTCTTTTCCTAAGATTCTGTACTCCTACTCTCATAGAATTGCAAAAACAAAACACTACAGTGGTTGGTAAAAGAGAGTGTCTTCATTACTTCAATATATTCTGGCTGGTTAAGTAGTTAACATTGTAATTAGCACCATTTATCATTCTATAGTTGTCTACCAGGTTCTTGAAGATTTTATTTTCTCTTTTGGGGGAGAGGGTACCGGGGATTGAACTTAAGGGTTCTTGACCACTGAGCCACATCCCCATCTCTGTTTTGTATTTCATTTAGAGACAGGGTCTCACTGAGTTGCTTAGCATCGTGCTTTTGCTGAGGCTGGCTTTAAAATTGTGATCCTCCTGCCTCAGCTTCCCAAGCCACTAGGGTTACAGGACTGCACCACTGCACCTGGCTTATTTTCTTGATTATATAGCAGTTGGCTGTGGCATTATGGATTGTTCCTTGAGTTAAATAGTATTTGTAGAATGAAAATATATTGATTTGTATGTACACATACAAACACGCTCCTCTTATGTCACATGCCTGGAGTGTAAAGGGTGTAAATAGTTTTCTGATTTATTTTCTTTGAAACACTATTTGAATGCTGTATAGACTTAAGATACCAGGTCAGAAAATGGACTGACAAATAATATGCTTACTGTTGGAAAGAAACTTCACTGCTAGGGATGAAAAAATAGCTATAATATATTAAAAAAACTTGATGTATATCATTTGAAAGTCATGGAGTTTTACTTTTTCATTTATATCATTTGATGAACTATAACTTACAAAACTAAAAAAAAATAATGTATCTATTTTATATACTAGAGGTTCACTTGCAAAGTAAGTATAATTTAAACAGTTTATAATTATAATTGCAAATAATAACACCTAAAAATATGTTCTTTTTTAGGTCTTTGATGATGGTAGATATGTTTACCTTGTTACGGATTTGATGAAAGGAGGAGAACTACTGGACCGTATTCTCAAGCAAAAATGTTTCTCAGAACAGGAAGCTAGTGATGTACTGTATGTAATAACTAAGACAGTTGATTATCTTCATTGTCAAGGAGTAAGTTATAGTCTTCCATATAATTATGGGACCTATATCGTCATGAAATTATATTAGGAGTTGATGCCACCTAAAATGAATTGCTTTTTCTGCCACTTGTATATTTAATAAAGAATATCTTAATAAAACTCATAATGTAGTAAAGGTTATGAATTTAAGAAATTGGCTAGTGCTTTATTAATTTTCTTCTGTCTCTTGGCCTTGATTTAATAGCGTATTAGTTTTGAACATGGTTTGAACTATACAGATATGCCTAATCTTGCCTTTAAAATTATTAAACCTAATCAAACTTAAAAGTGAAACAATTATTGAAGGACATATTGTAACAATTGTTGAAATTATACCTGACATGTGAAGTTCTTGCAGTTCTCCTGTGTGCCTTATTATCACTCTCCCAAATATAGTAAGAAATTTAGATTCCAAACATTTGAAATATTAATATATTTGTGATGGAGAGGCAGGCAAACTTGTTATTTTGCCTCCTGTCTTTTTGTTTGTTTTTGTTTTCAGCACTGGGAGTTAGCCCCAGGGCCTCACACATACTAGTAAATCTTATTAAAGGAGTAGAGTAGAGTAGAGAACGATGATCATTTCATCTTTGGTTTATTATTTTATACTCTTTCAGTTTTTTACATCAATAAAATAAATTAATAAGAAACACATATTGAACCTTTCTACATACTAGGCATTATAAACTATATTACAGATTCAAATAGGAGTAAAACTTGGTCCTTGTCCTTAAAGAACTTTCAGTTTTATAAACTGCTGATTAAAGGTAAGACTAAATTAGGGGCCAGGGTTGTGGCTCACTGGTAGAGTGCTTGCCTAGCAGGCATGGGGCATTGGGTTCAATCCGCAGCACCACATAAAAATAGGTATTATGTCCATCTACAACTAAAAAAAAACTTAAAAGTAAGACTAAATTAAATGAAGTGGATAGTAATAGCAGGAAAGTCATCACATAGGTAATTTCAGAATTTTTTCCAGTTCTGCATTTCATTTGGTTCTTCTTCATTGTTTCTGTTTTTTTCCTGAGACTTCTCATTTTTCTGCTAAAAATTCATACATTATAGACCTGTTTTGTTTTACTTCATTGAGAAGAGTTATAATTGTCACTTGCAAGTCCCAATCTGCTCCATTTTGGTTCATCTCAGAGTTAGAATTGATTTTCTTTTTTCTTGGGACTGTATTATGTTTTCCTTGTTCTTGTGATAATTTTTAATTTTATCCTATTCTGATACTGTTATTGATATATTTGTATTCTTTTATTTTTCTCTAGTTGTTATTTTCTTTGTTTCAGTTGGTAATTTTCTCTGTTGCTCCTGAACTAAAAATTCCTATTTGGAGGGCAGCAGCTCTGGTCTCTTCCTATCTTTTGTCTTTATAGGAACTACTTTAACCATCTTCTGTACTTTTGGGAGTGGTTTACCAGGGAATAAACTCAGGGGCACTCCACCACTGAGCTACATCCCTAGCCCTACTTGTACTTTATTTAGAGACAGGGTCTCACTGGTTGGTTAGTGCCTCATTTTTGCTGAGGCTGGCTTTGATCCTTCTGTCTCAGCCTCCCCGAGCTTCTGGGATTATAGGCATGTGCCACCATGCCTGGCTGTTTTACAAATTTTTGATTCAGGAGTCTGTTCAGGCTTTCACTTATATATAGTATTTCCTGAGTCAGCATTAATAGTTCCCCAGAATCTATTTTCTTTTTCTTCAAGCCAGAAATACTGCAGAATTTTCCATACATGTTTTTATCACCACTGTGTATTGTAGGGATTGCACACAACCCTGGGCTAAAAGTCACAGTTACCGGAACCTACTCATGTAGATCACTGTATTTCTTCTTTGCACCAAATGTGTGTTTTCTACCAGATTCTTTCTACTTCTATTCACACAGCACCTTCATATAGTTTAGTTTTTATATTATATCCAGCTTTTAAGTTGTTTACTGTGTGTAGGGGCATGTTTGGTAAGGTCTTAGTCCATAATATCCAAAAGTGGAACTAAGAGTTGAAATTGGAAAAGGTTAACAACACTGGTGGCTTGAGTGGAAACCGGAGTGTACATCTGATAGAGATAATTTTCTGTGTATACTTTAGACCATATATCAGAGAAATACTCATTTTCAATATGTAATAATTAGGAGTTTCTTTTCTGGGAAACATTGAAATGTTTTGTTTGGCAAATATTTAGCTAGCTATATAAATGTAATGCTTCTTTTCCTTTATTTTCAAGGTTGTTCATCGTGACCTTAAACCTAGTAATATTTTATACATGGATGAATCAGCGGATGCAGATTCAATTAGGATCTGTGATTTTGGGTTTGCAAAACAGCTTCGAGGAGAAAATGGACTTCTCTTAACTCCCTGCTACACTGCAAACTTTGTAGCGCCTGAGGTATTTAAATACTTCTGTGTTTACCTTTCATTAACATAACAATGCCATGTATATGTTAAGGCAGGCAGGTAAAAGCTGAGTTATCTTGTCCTTCCCAGCTGTAAACTCTTTCAATTAGTGAATTGCAGTAATACCTAAGGTAAATATTCAGACTAATAATGAGCATCTTAAACCAATCTGAATATCATAATCAGACTATTCTGTCAGGCTTTATACTAGTTTTAGAATCGTACCATTTTTAGAACTGGGCGACAGGGTAAAGACAGGCCACAGCCTCAACATATTACATATTCTAAATGAGGAGACTGAGGCTCAAAGTACTTAAATGATTTTTCAAAACCTAACAATGGCTTAGCAACAAAATCAGTTTGTGCTGAACATGCAGTTATTTATATTAGTTAGCATTATGTATAATATATAAGATCAGTGGTATCCCCAATTTTCTTTAGGATCTTCTAACTGCCAGAGAAAATAACCCCACAGGAATGTTTATAAACAGGGCATTGTTTATTTTACAGTGGTAAATGCATTTAGATGTAGATATCAGGGGGAAGAAATAGAAGAGGTCAGACTGGCTTAGTAGAGGAGCAAATTTCATATATAGAAAGCTCTAACTATTCCAACCATGGGATAGAGACTATGATACTAGCACCTCCCACAGCAGTGAAAGTAAGTTTGGTGAAAAATGAGTTAGGGATGGCATTGGCTACAAAAGTTTCTATATAAGTTTGTTTGTAAATTAGGAATTGTTCTTACATATATGGATATTGATAATTGGTATAAATCATTGTATGTTTAATATAAATCAAAATACCATTTCAAGTTTGAAAATTTGAATTTTCAAATCAGGAAAAATCGGACAATAATTTAAAGATGAAGTAATATCTCATAGGCATATTTTATGATTTTATTTTTATAAATGGCAGCCCTTTCAAGCTATATTAATGTAATATATATTTAAAGTAGCTTGGAAAAATATTTTTCTAATAATCAAACTAGAAATATAGAAATATAACTTTCTGATAATGAAAAGTTCTTATTTTAAAATTTTATGAATCTTTTTTAAGATATTATTTATTTACACTAGGATTGAACCCAGGTCCCTGCTAGGCAAGTGCTCTACTGCTGAGCTACAGACCAGCCTTTGTTTTAAGATTTTGATATTAAAAACAGGCATGATACTGTTTTATGGGCCTTTTATGATTTGAGATTATTTCATCATAGTTTGTATGGAGTCCTGGTTTACTAAGAGAACAACTTATTTTTATAGCTTTAGCCTTATTATAGAGAGAGAACATTCATTCACCATTTAGGATATGCATCACTTCAATCAGCCTCTTAAGGTTTACTTCATAGATGTGCTTTACTACATAACTGTGTCCCAAAAGTTAATATATCTCCAATTTTTTATTACTTTATGAAGGAAAAATTATGATGTCATATTATTAAACTTGTATTTAATGCCTACTAAGGTCTAAATGTTCAAGATTGAATGGAGCTTATGACAGATCTGAGGAATGTTGTGTCTGCAGCTTCTGATAAAGTAATATTGAAGTTACCCTGCTTTGCACTGGCTCTGGCATATGTTTTGATCCAAATGTGAATTAATTTAAACTTTAGAGCAAAGGGAATGACAATATCTGTATATTTTACTTTTTGCTAACTTAAGAAGCCAAATTTCAGATAAAGTTATGGCAGTGACTACTTGAATTGTGATTTCCTTCTCCTCTGTCTTTAATTTAATGCAAGTAAAAACATGTGTGACAAAGCCTCTGTACTGTATCTTTATTCATCACATCTCCCTACTATGTTTCTTTTGTAACTGAATGTTCTCACTATTGTAGGACATTTGAGACTAGATCTAGAACAAAAGTGAATTGCTTCTTCTTTACCCATACAGTATGTGTTTTAAGAATCAGGTTTTCATGGTCAGCCCTATTTAAGCAGGGTTACACCTCCTGCACACTTTCTCATAACTAGGAAGATTATAAAAGTATGGGTTGTTTTGTTTTGTTTGAGAAAAAGACTCACTGTATTGCCCAGACTAGCCTCAGACTTCTGGGCTCAAGCAATCATTCTGCCTCAGCCTCCTGAGTAGATGGCACTACAGGTGCATGCCACAGAATCTGGCAAGGATATAGAAATATGAAATACCAATAGCTAATTTGTTGTTTAACCCTCACCTACCCAGCTTAAACAATGGCCCTCAAGTGTGGCTATGCAATGGATAATCAGGGAAGCTTTCAAAGCTTCTTAAGGCAACCAGAGAAAATATGGGATTCTCACAACTATAAGAGGTAATGAAAAAAAAAAAAGAGCTAGCAGTAAAGGTTTATGTTTTACTAGAGCATACCAACTTAAGTTTACTCTGATATGAGTAGTTTATCTATAGTGGTATTTGTTAAGGCCACTGTATTCTCTACTTCTATTATTTACTTAAGGCAAATAGATCTCTCTCTTTTTCTTCTCCCATCTCCCTCCCTATCTCTGTCCCTCTGTGTATATGTGTTTTAATATTTTGGGATACCTTCTTTAGCTTCTCACTATTGCACATGTATTCTTTGAATAAGAAAATTCATTATATCTCATTTTAAATCAGTAACATACTCATTATTCATGCCTGCCATTTGGTAAAACCAAACATTAATAGTTTTAGCCTTTTGTAGGTGAAAAGTCCATTCTAGTGTTGATGTAGTCCTCAGGGTTAATGCATCAATAATGTTTCTGTGTCTAGAGGCTTTAGCAGTAGGCTTATTTTCTAAAAAAAATACAAAAGGCTTCATTTCATATCTTTATTTTTCTAACAAACTATTAACTTCATAGAGAAATCCCACATGAATATTAAGATATTATTTGATTTTTGTTAATACTGTCCCAGTGAGCAAAAACGTTCTGTAAATTATTGTATGCAAAATTAAAAAAAGCTATTCAACATATATCAAATGTGTATTTGTAGTCTAGAAATACACTGCTGATCTCAATAAATCAGCCTTGTATGTAAAATATACATTTATCCATCATATGTAAGAAAAAAAAATATTATCCTACCATATCTTGTGTACTAAAGAGGCAGTTATGATAGATATTAAAAGCACATATTCTAGAGTAAGAATGCCTGCTCTACTATTGCCTAGCTTTGTGATGCTGGACAATTTACCTAACATCTGTCTCTTTCCTCATCTTCAAAATTGGAATGATAATACCTTTGGCATAGAGTCAGCATCAGAATTAAAAGTCTTAGTACTCTTATAATATAAACTCTCTGTACCTATCAGTCTTAAATTTAGGTGTCTGTATATCTCAGGTCCTGTGTGGAGGGGTGAAAGCTCATTAAAGTCAAGGTTGTTTTTTGGTATGGCCCATGACTAAAGTAATTTATAATGCCATTTTTTTCACTTCTTGCTAATTGCAGAAGAATACTTATTACTACTTAAGTATATAAACTGATTTACACTTCAATATTGTGAGCGTTTGTGGGACTATTAGAAGCAAAACAACTTTGTTTTGGATGGGAAAATTGAGTTTGTACTAAGTAATACCACATAATGAATATTTCTTTCTTAGGTTCTTATGCAGCAGGGATATGATGCTGCTTGTGATATTTGGAGTTTAGGAGTCCTTTTTTACACGATGTTGGCTGGGTAAGAAACTGATATACTCATGTTATTGTTTAAATCTCACCTATATATCTTTATCTTACAAAGAGAATAGAAAAAAATAACCTGAAGAAAAATCTTCCTAACATTTCAAAAGATTAAAACCGCAACATACTGTATATGAGGTACTGTTGAGTTATAGTAATTAGAAAAGGGATTTTAAGTGAAACAAAAATTTTAAGAATAAAGTGTACATTTATATTTTAATTGTTTACATAGAGCATATTACTTTTTAATGTTTTTACCTGATCATAAGATAATTGTATTTCAATAGGAACTTGCCCATTGAACTTATTGATGTTCATTTTTTAGGTACTTGAATTCTAGTTTTCCTGGCAATATATATTTAATAAAATTATACTTTATTTTATTCATTTATTTATATGCAGTGCTGAGAATCAAACCCAGTGACTCACACATGCTAGGCAAGAGCTCTACCACTGAGGCACAACCCCAGTCCTAATGTTTAATTTTTTAAGTGGTACAAAAACATGCAAATTTTACATATAAAAATGTAAAACAATTGCTTTGAAATTTCAGTTGGCATAGTGATAATTGCATATGTCATTGAATTTCATATAATTTTTAGATCTTACAAGTTTATGCAGAATATTCAGTTATAAACTACAATAAATGCTCAAATTAAATTAAAGGTAGCTAACGTTTTCATATCAAATGCAGTCAACATTATTGGTTTTTAAACCATAGGATACTATTTGAAACTTGCTGCTTTCAAATATTTACATCATGACTAAACAAGAAATTATGGTTTATATGTGTATTTAGTATTTTCTTAATTTAATTATTATATGAGGTAATTCAGACAGTACAGTCCACGCATTTGTAACTATGGATCAGATTTCCAAGTCCAAAATTTGAATAGCATTTCAGTTCCACCTGTTAAAATGGCACAAATATGATTAACTTTTTCATTCTGATTAAGTTTTAAAAACAACTTTAACTTGACATTTTTTATCTTCCCATCCATGAGTAATTTGATCTACATAATAATTTTAATGTCTCCAGATTTTAATTATATTGATATAAATATTTAACCTTTTTTATATACAGTCATTAAAAGTATTATGGACCTATTCCACTAATAATGTTGATAAAAGTAAAATATTAATGAAAAATTCAACTAACACAGTAAAAACATTTTAAATATACATCAATAACGTTTCCCTAAGAGTAAATATATTTGTTTGCTTACTTAACCTAAGAGAATACAAAATGTGTGTTTTATTGTGGTCTGGTTCTAAAACTAACTTTACTTGAAAGCCACTCTTATTTTCTTTTACATTGATTAATGGACCAAAGACAAAAGGAAAAAATGATATAGGCAAGATTCTTAATTTTATTAAATACTTTATTAGGATTAGAATTCATTATTTGAAGTATACAATTGATATTAACATTGAAAGAATTAGATGATTGTAATTTTCTATAATAAATATTTACATATAATTATATATTCATGTCCTTCATTATATTTATTATGCATGCTTGACTTTTATGTCTATTTAAATTATTTTATCAATAGCTACACTCCATTTGCTAATGGCCCCAATGATACTCCTGAAGAGATACTGCTTCGTATAGGCAATGGCAAGTTCTCTTTGAGTGGTGGAAACTGGGATAATATTTCAGATGGAGCAAAGGTATAAATTAAAAATGTATTATTTTGTTACATTTGCTAAAATCTCTAAGTTTTATCCTAATGTTTATTTGCAGAGTATCTGACATGTCATGTATTTCTTTATTATTAACATATTGTATCAATTAATGGGTGTCATTGTGACATTTCTGTACATGCATGTACATACCTCAATCAAGTCCACCCTACTTTCTACATTCTTTCCCCATCCCTTTTCACTCCCTTTTGCATGGGCCCCTTCCCATTCACTAATGTCCCTCTTCTATTTTCATATCATCTTTTTTTCCTTCCTCTAGCTTCCACATTTGAGAGAGAATATGTAATATTTGTCTTTCAGAGTCTGATGTATTTCATGTAACATGACATCTTCCAGTTCCATTCATCTTTCTTCACATAAGTTCAGTGTTTTTAGGGCTAAATAATACTTCATTATGTACATATATCACATTTTTTTATTCAGTCATTTGTTGATGGGCACCTAGAATGATTCCATATCTTGGCTATTGTGAATAATGTCATAATAAATGTGGACATGTATATAACTCTTTTGAATGCTGACTTTATTTTCTTTGGGTATATACTTGGGAGTAGTATAGCTGAATCAGGTGGTAATTGTATTTTTAGTTTTTAAGAAACTTCCATAGTGTTTTGTATAATGGCTTTACTGATTAACTTTCCCTCCAAGGTGAATAAAGATTCCTTTTTCTCCACATCATAACCAGTATTTATTTGTTTATTTATATATTTATTACTAATAGCCATTCTGATTGGAGAGAAATGGAAAGTCAGTGCATTTTGAACTGCATTTCCCTGATGGCTAAAGATGTTGAGCATAAGCATTTTTTTCATGTATATATTGGCCATTTGTGCTTTTTGTGTGTGTGTGAAAAGATCTGTTCAGATCATTGACCTATTTACTGATTGAATTATTTGTGCTTGTTGATAGCTTTGAGTTTACCTGTTCCAGATATTAATCCTCTGTCAGATGAACAGCTGGCAAAGATTTTTCTCTCCTCTGTGGGATTTCCCTTCACTCTCTCTTTTGCTATGCAGATGCTTTATAATTTTATGTAATTCCATTTGTCAATTCTTGATTTGTATGCTGGGCTTTTGTAGTACTATCTAGGAAATAATTTTCTGTGCCAGTATCTTGAAGTGTATTGCCTGTTTTTATCCAGTAGTTTCAAAGTTTTAAATCTTTCATTTAGGTCTGTTACCCTTTTACATTTATTTTTATACAGGGTAAGAGGTATGGATCTAATTTTAATCTGCTACATATCGATATCCATTTTTCCCAGAATCATTTGTTGAAAAGGCTGCCTTCTTCAATTTATGTTTGTGACACATTGTCCAGAATCAGTGGGTTTTAGATGTGTGGATTTATTTCTGGGTCTTTAATTCAAGTTCATTGCTCTGTGTGCTTGTTTTTGTTTGTTTGTTTGTTTGTTTGATTGATTTTTAATGCCAATACCATGCTGTTTCTGTTAGTATGGCTCTGTAGTATGTTTTGAAATCAGGTGTTGTGAAACCTCCAATATTGCCCTTTTTGATTAGGATTGCTTTGGAAATTCAGGATGTTTTTCAGTTTCATATAAATTGTAGGATTATTTTTAGTTCTGTGAAGACTGATATTGATATTTTGATGGGGATTGCATTGAATCTGTAGATCACTTTGGGTGATATGGCCAATTTAACAATATTAATTCTCTTAAATATGAACATGGGATATCTTTCTGCTTCTAATGTCTTCTTCATTTTCTTTATTCAGAGTTTTATAATTTTCAATGTGGAGGTCTTTCACATCCTTAGGTTTATTTCTGGATATTTTATTTCATTTGGGGAGGCTATTGTGAATGAGATTGCTTTTCTGATATCTTTCCTAGTGAGTTCATTATTGCTTATATAGAAATGTTACTGATTTTTTTAATTTTTATTTTGTATCCTGCTGCTTTACAAAATGTAGTTCTAAGAGTCTTTTGGTGGAGATCTTATGGTTTTCTTAGAATCATATCATTGGCAAACATGGATAATTTTACTTCCTCCTTTCTTATTTGTATCTAATTTTTCTTTCTTGTCTAATTGCTCTGGCTAAAATTTCTAGTACTTTATAACACAAGAATTGGAAGAATGGATATCCTGTTCTCATTCTTGATCTTTTTTCAGTCTTATTGCTTTATTTTTCTCATGTCACCTATATTTCCATATTGAGATTAATGCATCTTTTGGGATGGCTGTATCTTCCACTTTTATTGAGGATCTACTTTCTCTCTATGGTATGCCCAAAACTCAGTTTATATTTTAATATCCATGCACCTACTGTATGTGATCAAAGTGCTTCATGTTCTCCAGATCAGTCTTTGGAGTGAGCCTGTGTATGTGAGTGAGGACCCACAAAGTGGTTTTAGGGAAGGGACGTCATCAGTTCATCTCCCTCCAGGCCGACAATTGGTATGTCAACATGGCAATGAGGACAAGATCATACACACTCCCTTGGAGCAAATGCAGTATGGAGTAAGCAGCCAACTGTGCTGCAGATGTGTGGACAATTTCAGTTTCTTTACAAGAAAGTACCATATGAGGCTGGGTATGGTGGTTCACACCTTCAATCCCAGCAGTTTGGAAGGTTGAAGCAGGAGGATCACAAGTTCAAAGCCAGCCTCAGCAATGTAGTGAGGCCCTAAGCACCTTAGGGAGACCCTGTCCCATATATATATATATATATATATATATATATATATATATAAAATTTATATTTATTTATTTATAAATAGTGTAATCATGTGTGTATGTGTGTATATATGTAAATAAAACCATGTTGTTTTTCTTCCTTCTCTAAGTTTATTTATTTTTATTTTTTAATTTGTTCTAATTACTTATACATAACAGTAGAATTCATTTTGATACATTATATACAAATGGAGCACAACTTCTTCCTGTGACTGAACATGGTGCAGAGTCACACCGGTAGTGTAATCATACATGTATATAGAGTAATAATGTCCATCTCATTCCACTGTCCTTCCCATTCCCACACCCTCTCCCCTGCCTTCACTCCCCTCTGCACAATCTAAAGTCCCTTTTCCCCCACCCCCATTATGGATCAGCATCTGCTTATCAGAGAAAACATTTGGCCTTTGGCTTTTGGGGATTGACTTATTTCACTAAGCATAATATTCTCCATTTCCATCTATTTACCAGAAAATGCCACAATTTCGTTCTTCTTTAAGCCTGAGTAAGATTCCATTGTGCATATATACCACAGTTTCTTGATCCATTCATCTATTGAAGGACACCTAGGTTGGTTCCAAAGTTTAGCTATTGTGAATTGAGCTGCTATAAACATTGATGTGGCTGCACCAATGTAGTATGCTGATTTTAAGTTCTTTGGGTATAAACTGAAGAGTGGGATAACTGGGTCAAATGGTGATTCCATTCCAAGTTTTCTGAGGAATCTTCATACTGCTTTCCAGAGTGGTTGCACCAATTTGCAGTCCTACCAGCAATATATGAGTGTACTTTTTTCCCCACATCCTCACCAACTCTTATTTTTGCTTGTATACTTGATATTGCCATTTGACTGGAGTGAGATGAAATCTTAGTTTTGATTTGCATTTTTGTAATAACTAGGTATAATGAATATTTTTTATATGTTTTTTGATAAATTGTAGTTCATCTGCTGTGAAGTGTCTGTTCAGTTCCTTAGCCCATTTATTGATTGGATTGTTTGATTTTTGGTGTTAGTGTTTTCCAGTTTTGTATATATCCTAGAGATTAGTGCTCTATCTGAGGTGCTATACATCAGTGAAAGAAAAATTAAGAAAACTACAATGCCACTGACATTTTTCACAGACCTCTAAAATTTATTACTCACACATATGGTTAAAAATGATGCATCACACCTCTTAAAATGGCTGGCTGGAAAAGAGTATTTTGAATATTTACTAAAGAAGTTTTGAAAATTTAAGGTGATAGTATGCTAATTCCTTGATTTCATCATTATATGATATACTTTTTGCGACATTTATTTTAAAAAGCCGAAATACATTCAAGAGAGAATGTGAACTGTCTCGGGAAATACATTTAGCAGGGTAAAGTAGGAAATATACATCAAGGGAGAATGTTGGCACATTTATGTAGTAAGAAACTTTGGAGGCTAAGCAAGGAGAACACATTTAAGGGAGAATATAAGCTATCTCCAGAGGGAAAGATAACCTACAGTTTTTTGTTTTTTTTTTTTTTTTTTTGTTTATTAATCTTGTATTTTGCAGCCTTGCTAATATCATTTATTGTAGTAGCTTTTATATAGATTGTATCAGTTTTATCTTTATTTATCCTGTTGGCATGTATTAATTATACAAAATAGTGAACATCATTGTGGCATATTTGTAGCATCATTCTTTCTATGTAGATAACATTATTTCTGATAAAGGTAGTTTTGTTTCTTTACAATATGGATATCTTTTCTTTATGTGAATGACTAGAACTTCCAGTGTGGTGTAAAAGTGGAGAGTGAGGGCATTCTTCTTTTATTCCTGATCTTAGAGAAAGCATTCATTTTTAACTATTAAGGATAGTGTTAGGTGTATATTCTACATAGGTACTTTTACTTAAGTGGAATAAGTTTTTTCCTGTTCATTCATGGTTTAAAGAAAATTTTATTAGAGATGGATGTTAGATTTCATCAGTCTTTCTGTGTCTAATTACTTATACATAACATGGATTTTCTTTCGATTACATTGGCATACATTTTAATTATGTTGCTTTTCAAATGTTAAAAAAACCTCGTTTCCCAACCAGGATAAACTTGATCATGAGTTAGACCTTATGTATAGCTGAATTTTGTTTGCTGATTTTATTTACAGTTTTAATATCTATATTCATGATATTGATCTGTTGTTTCTTGTAATATCTGTCTGATATTGTTATCAGGGTAATATTGGTCTCATTATATGAGATTGGAAGTATTTCCTCCTATTTAAATTTCTGGAACACTTATTTAGAACTGGAATTACTTACTCTTAAATGTTTTTTATAAGTCACCACTGAAGCAATCTGGGACTAAAGTTTTTCTTGTTGTTAAGTCTTTAGCTTCACATTCATTTTCTCAAACAGGTATGGCTATTTAGATTATCTGTTTCTTTTTGTCAATGGACATTGACATTCAAGGAATTTACTCAGTGTTGGATATATTGTCATAAAGTTTCTCATATTTCTTTACTTTTGTGTTCGTATCTACAGACTCCATAGTTATGTTTACTTTTTCATCTATAATTATGGGTTTGTCTATTTGTCTCTGTAGTTTTAATGTTTTTTTTTTTTTGCTTCATGTAAATTTTAAAGCTATATTTTTACATAAATAAATATTTATAAGTTTTCTTCCTCTCATCTCTCTCATGAAGATAGATGGGGAAACAGATAGGAGGACAGGGAGAGAAAGGGTAGGCAAATGCAGTTGACCAAATTATGTTATGTGCATGTAAGTATATGTAACAATAAATCCCACTATTATGTATAATTATAAAGCACCAATAAAACTAAGTTTGTCCTCTTGATTAATTGTCCCCTCTATCATTATGCAATGGCCTTCTTTATCCCTGGTAATATTTGCCTTTGTTTTTGAAAACCATGTTCCTTTACCCTATATGTGTTCTTCCCTCCCCCAATAGCATTTTTATTTTCTATTTTTATAAAGCATACAAATAAATTATGTCCAAAAAAGAAATTGCGTTATTTTTGCAAGATGCATGAACTAAATGAGCATAATGTATATCAATTTTTTCTCTAAATATTTTTCCAGAGTATAAAATATTTTTTTTAATTGACACATTGTACTTGTACAAAATTGCTTTTGTTCAATTTCACTCCAATCCTTTGAGATAGTTCTTCAGTTGTTTCTTCAAACAAATGTTTATTGTAGCAATCTGAATACTTGAGGAATATCCTCTCCAGAACTCCATAATTATCTCTTTCTCTCCTACATTTACTTCTCTCATATCCTGTCCTACTAACTCAGTTTGCCTTAGTCTCTCTTAATTCTCTGTTCTGTCTCCTCAACTCAAACTTACAGGCTCTGACTAGGTTTCCTTACTGCACAGCAATCAAAAAATATTTTCAAGTTGGGGTAAACATAATGCTTATCTGATTTGTTTCTCATCTCTTAGGGATCACTCACCTTCATTGACTATCATCTAATCTGTTTTGTTTCATAAGATTTGTTTGTTGTTTTCTGGAATTGTAGGTGGTGGGTAAATCCAGCACATGGTATTTCATGATATTCCATTTTGGCCAGAAGCAGACGTCCTTGGACTATTGAAATTCTATCCTTTTTGGTGCATTGTATTTTACATAGCAGTAGATTTCATATATCAGTTAAAAATCTTAATGTCAGATTTTTTTTTTTTTTGGTGGGTACTGGAGATTGTACTCAGGGACACTCAACTACTGAGCCACATCCCCAGCCCTGTTTTGTTTTATGTAGAGACAGGGTATCAGTGAGTTGCTTAGTTCCTCACCTTTGCTGAGGCTAGCTCTTATCTCCAGATCCTCCTGTCTCTGCCTCCTGAGTCTCTGAGATTACAGGCGTGCACCATCATGCCCGGCCCATGTCAGATTTTTAACTGATACATGAAAATATAAAGATTTTACATATTAGCAAAATGCTAAGTAATATTTCAATACATCTATACATCCATTTAAATCAGGATAAACGTATCTTTCTCCTTCAACATTTATAAATTTTTTGTGTTGAAAATTTTCAAAATCCTTTCTTCTAGCCTTTTGAAAAATACAGTACCTTATTGTTATCTATAGTCATCCTACTATGCAGTAACACAAGAACTAGCTCCTATATAACTGTAACTTAGCACCCATTGATAAACCTTCACCCATTTCTCCCTTTCATCTGTTCTCCTTGGCCTTTTATTATAACCACCATTTTATCTCTGGACTTCTATGAGATTGACTTTTCTAGATTCCACATATAACGAGTGAGATCATGAGGCACTTGTTCTGTGAATCATTTACTTCACTTAATATAATGATTCTGGCTCTACCCAGTTTGTAACAAATTACAGGATTTTATTCTTTTTCATAGCTGAATAGGGTTCTATTGTGTATATGTACTCATTTTTTTTATCCATTCATTATTGTATAGACAGGTTGTTTCCATTTCTTGGCTGTTTTGAATAGTGCTGCAATGAACATTGGAATGCAGTTATCTCTTTGATATACTGAATTCATTTCCTTTGGATACCTACCAGTAGTGGGAATACTAGATTATATAGTGGTTCTATTTTTAATTTATGATCTCAATTTAGATGTAACTTATTGAAATGATTATCTTTTTTTGCTGGAAGCTTTTAGCGAAGTTTATTGTGACATTGTAACAGTGGTCTGCTTTAAATATAACCCTTGCTGCTCTGTCACGGCAACTTATTTTCTTAAATTTTATTTTAGTTTTTTATTCTGATTTGTTATATATGACAATGAAATGTATTATAATTCATATTACATATATAGAGCACAACTTTTCATATCTCTGGTTGTATACAAATTGTATTCACCCAATTCTTGTCTTCATACATGTACTTTGGATAATAATGTCCATCATATTCCACCATCATTTCTAACCCCATGCCCCCTCCATGTCCCTCCCACCCCTCTGCCCTATCTAGAGTTTGTCTATTCCTCCCATGCTCCCCCTCCCTACCCCACTATGAAACAGCTTGATGCTGGTTGTTTTAATGAATCATAATAATAGCCATCATTTATCAGGTGGTTAGTATGTCCCCGATATCTTTTTTAATATTCTACATATTTATTTATTTATTTACATCTGTTGTTTTCTTAGTAGATTGTCTTGTTTGGTTGTACTAGTCCCTTAAACAGTTCCAGCCAATTATAATCTGGTATTACTACTTAGAGCCTTTAGTTTCTGCTTTTGCCATTGATGAAAGGTTCATTCACAAATGATGGTTTTCTGTATTAGAAAATGCTTGTTAAGGAATTTACTACCTCTTTTTATAAAATATTTTAAGGATATTTTATTTAAAATGTTACATAATTTAGAATATTTAATACTTCATTTTGAGCTGGGGTTGTGTCTCATTGGTAAAGTGCTTGTGATCCCCAGCACCACATAAAAAAAAAAAAAAAAAAAAAACAAGTAAACAGAATAAAGGTATTGTGTCCATCTACAACTAATTTTTTTTAAATTTTATTTTACTATTAGGGTATATTAAGTACACAGTATTTTATTATGACAGTTCAAATAAGCATATTTATAATTACTCTGATGTAAAACTCACAATGCTATGATAGCATCTAATTGCTAACATTGGATTTATATTTTGCTTTTTTAGTATGTTGTGCATTAAGCCCCTAGTTAATGAGCAAATTAACTACATTGGACTGCCCCTTCTATTTTGTGTCTAAATACACATACTCTTGTACCATAGGGCCCAGCTTACCAGCCAAGTTCAGTAGCTCCTTTCTCCCCTTGATCATGTAGCTTATCCCAAGATTTTCCATATATATTTTTCATTTTCTTTTAGGATTTGCTTTCCCATATGCTTCATATGGACCCTCATCAGAGATACACTACTGAACAAGTATTAAAGCACTCATGGATAACCCACAGGGATCAGCTGCCGAATGATCAGCCAAATAGAAATGATTCATCACACATTGTTAAGGTAAAAATAAACATACTTTTATATGCCTTCTAAAACTTATTACCTAATGAAGCCATTGTATGATATTCACTAATTATAGGTAATTAATTTCTTAATATATCTTTATTTTTTAGAGTTTTTTATTTTTTTTTAATAATAGCAATCATGTACTCTTCTTAACTTTTCTTTGCTACTGGCTTTCTGATGAAAAAATTTTAAAAAAGTCTTAATTACTGATTGCCTTATTTATAAGAGACACTTGATCTAGGAGTGATCTAAATGGTCACATTTCATATGGAAACAAGATTGCTATTAATTCCTATATTATAACCATTTGTTCCAGTTTCTATGTTCATAGACATTGAGCCTAGATATTGCATTTTAGTGTCTTAACAATTTTGCATTAGAAGAATGCTCGTTTAAATGAAAAATATACAAATAATCAGTTATTAATTCACCAAGGCAGAATCAGTGCATAGAATATACTCAGTTATTTTCCTGGGGCAAAATTTTGCTCTATAAAAATGTAATGGGGAAGTTTGTATTCATTCATTCATTCATTTATTTATTTATTTAATCTGAGATTATTACTCTATTCTAGGAAGAAGTTGTTGCCACATATTCTGCCCTGACTCACAAGACTTTTCAACCAGTCCTAGAGCCTGTAGCTGCTTCAAGCTTAGCTCAGCGACGGAGCATGAAAAAGCGAACATCAACTGGCTTGTAAGATTTGCAGTGTTCCTCAGCTAAACAGGATGAAGAGAAAATTAAACATGTGGCTTTTTGCCTAATCTTATATCAATAGCGTTGTTTTCTGCTATATTACTTGAATATTCTGTTTAGACCCTTTTTTTAAGGGGAGTGAAGTAAAAAAAAAAAAAAACAGGTCCACAATATTCATACTATGTTGTTTGTAGTCATGTCCAAGTGTTTGTATCAGGAAATAATTGTAATCCACAGGTCTTAAAAACTTCTCTGCACATACATGTCTAAAATTCTTTTCAAGTAAAATTATTCTTAGTTTTAGTGGATTCAAATAATAATGGTTTAGAAATCATGCTTTTAGTGTAATGCCAAGCAACGTCAGTATTTTTTTAACATCTGATCTTGAAGGATAGGCTTTTTTTTCTACAAAGAAAAGCAAATGTGTGGAAGTTTGTTGTGCATAACCAAAGGACTCCATTCATTTATGGCTACTAAATTATTGTCATAGTTGTTTGGTGCCAGAGCGAGATGCATTTATCCTAATATATGATATGATTGGTGCCAAAGTTTTTATGGAAGAATTAAATCACCAGTAATGTGTGAGACAGACCTAAATATTTATCCATAAGTGGCCTCATCTAGGAAAGGTTTTCATAAGGTTTCTAACAATTTACAACTAACAGAATTGTTGTACAAATGAAAAAAATATCAAAAGACTTTATACTGGTGTTATAATCTTCCAAATAGGTCATAGTTAGTCCTTTGATAATAAAGTACATGGTGTTAACACTATCTTGGTGTTATGTAACCAGACTTTCAAGTTCACTAATTGGATTTAGTCATCATCTATCCCCTTTATAAATGAAGTACACTGTTATTTTTCTGATTTCTATGTGCTTTGAGCTACAGTGTAGCATACCAATCTACCTTGAATCGTATGATTATATAGTTGAAGTTGTACTGTAGTGGACTTGTGCTCTTAGCACATATGGTATAGTATAATGTATTTCAGTAACTTTAGACAGTGCTATATAATAGTTATGCTTTGAGAAGAAAAACTAACATTTTAAATAGGAGTAATATTAATCATCTACAAAAAGGTTGAGCACATTTAAAAATCATATTTATAAAAGATATCTGGCCAAATTGGTCTTATTAAATTTATGATTCAGAACCACTGTGTTAATATGAATTGTTTTCTCTAAATACTGAAATATTAAAAAAAAATTGTGTTGTTGAATAAAATACCATTACTACTACTACTACTACTACTACTACTACTACTGACAGAAAGAACTCATGAATGTAATTTGCAGGATATCATAGTTTTGTTTAGTGAATATAAGTGAACTACTTGTGTGTGCTAGGTGTACTGTTTGCTGTGTATTTTTTTCTTAATTCAGAGACAGTTGATTGCTGAGTATACAGTTTAGGCTAGAAGACATGTACCTTTGGTAATTAATAAACCAATTATACATCTTATCTTTATAATGTAAGTGATCTATACCATGCACAAAAATCTGTTTCTGGGTGTAATATATAAAAGTATGTGTTCTTATTTTGAGGTGATTTTTGAAACAATTAAAAAACATTAAAAATATCTAATACTACATGGAAATATTACTTAGAAGTGGTTAAATTGGTACTATATTTTATGGCTATTTATGTTCCAATTTGGCTTTTTCATTCTTCATTTTGCTTAATTACATTAAGTGCTTGCATGTAACAGTTTGTGTCCATATATTTATTTTCCTCTTGTCATTATCTTGTTTGTGTTGTTATGCCATCTTCTATATTCTTATCAGAATTGATACATCAAACTCAGAGGTATAATTTCAGTGCTAAACTTTTCAGCACAAATATTATATCCATATATACTTTTCATGTAATAAAATTAAGGGAAGTGAAATTGAAAAATGATCAGAAAATAAACTTCCGGCTTTTTATATTCAATGGTTTTTAAAAGTAGATGGTCAATTTTCAGTTAACATGTTCAAAAAGATCATGTCACACAGTTCCATCATGAAAGGAACACTATAAGAAATAAGCAGTGATCATTATGATTCCTCATCACCCAGTGAGGACTGACAGTCTGAAAGATACAAGTGGATATACCCAATAATTGTAAGACAGTTTTCTGCTGGAATATGTAAACTTGCAAACCTAAGAACTATAGTAGTAAGGACAACTTTATTATAAAGGAAAGCATAAAATGTACCCTCATTTTGTAGGAGGTGCCCAGCTAGGGATGCCTAATTATCTACTTTTTGGCTATAACTCTAACCATAAATTTAGATTTGAATGGAACATTTTTAATGAGACTTCTATAAATGCTTGACCAGCAAAATGATACTGTGGTTTCTAATAGATTCATGAATTATTTTACATTGTTTTTTTCCAGTTAATGGTTATTTATAATATTTAATGATATAACAGTTTGAGCTTTTTCCTGAAAGGGAGACAATATTGAACTTATTTATTATTTTTCTTAAAGGAAAATACCAAATTTGCTCAGTAGATTAACAGTCTTTCATTCTAAGGCACATATTACCAAGAATACACTCAGGAAACCATTTGCAAGAAAATTAGAAGTGTAGCACTGTTGACTGATTTTTGTGGGTAAAACAGTAGTTTCCGTTCTTTTATGAAGATAAAATTTGAGCCTGTTTTTGTTAGATTAGGAATACCTAAACCTTGTTATTGGTAGTTTATTTTCATTGGTTACTAGATATAATAAAACATTTTTGTTGGCTCTTCTGGTTACCTCAAAATGATTTCACGTTAGGCAACCCACAAACTTAATAAAAGATATTTGGTGTTTATAATATCTCCCCCATTGAAACAATATGTTAAAATAGTACTGCCCATGGACACTTATTCATACATATTGAATAGTCTTATTCTAATAGTAAGAGGTCTTTCATGGATAAAGAAGGAAAACAAAACAACACTTACTTTACATTAGAAAAATTATATTTTCTCCAAGACAGAGTTTGTCTTTGGCACTCTACATTCTCTTTCTGCTGCTCTCCTACTTAAACACCTCACGAGGAGTACTCCATCATTAAGATTTATCCTGTTTTCTGTGTGCCAAAAGGGCCTCAATCCTTTTTTCTTCCCCAATTCAGGACTTCCATTCCCTCAGAACGATTATTTTCAGCTAAAAAGTGAAATGCATGCTAAATTACTTCACATTTTTCCAATATTGGCTAATAGATAATTGGCATTTTCTAAGGAATATGTCCACTAAACAGACAGGTTTCTAGTTTATAGGAGTTTCAGTAATTCTAACAAAAATAAATTGATTTTAAATTCAGTTATTATCAATGAAGTTTTTTTGGGTGTGTGTGTGTGTGTGTGTGTGTGTATGTAAAGAACTTACACAGTAGGTCCAAGGTTCAATTATATAATAGATTGTTTCTTTATATATTATATAATAGATTGTTTCTTTTTTCCATAGTACTTTCTGATTTTCAATCTGCATTTTCTTTTACCATCTTCTAAGCTTTTTGGTAGTAATACACTTCTGTTACAAGATAGTATGGAGAGAGTCTGTGATTGATGATCATTTCTGTATATGTTGTTAAGCCCATATTTGTCTGTATTCTTTTTTCTCAAAGTACATAATTTGTAACACAAGGACTTTTATACCTCCTCCCATTATATTGGTAGAGAATAAAAGCACAGAGAGTTTGGATGCAAACTATCTATGGATCCCAAGTTTTTAAACACTTTGTCTAGATTTCAGGATGTATAAATCCTATTTATCATTTATTTTGCAAGAAAAATGCAAGCCATAATATATATATGGTCAACTGCAATTAAACTGTTTTAGAACATGTTTTTTACATTCCAGCACTTATTCAGGCATAGTTTAGCATTTATCTCAAAATCAGCAGCTGAAATTAGTAGAATAAATCAATATTGTTGTTATCTGCCTTCCTATGAAGGAATCATAGATAATCATTGATAGTGATTATTCACAACATATTAATCTCATGAATGCACTATTCCTAGTTTTAGTCTTACAAAATAGTGAAATCTGTCATATACTTCAAGTAAATTAATTTGATTGATTAACTGATTTGATTGATGGGAGGAACTGGAAGTTAATAAATCCTAAATTATAGGCATAGCTTTCTTTGAAATATGAAGCAGAAGACAAAGGAAAAGTACTTTTAGGATAGACAAATTTAAGCTTACTTATATTGTATTGGCAAATGATGCATCTTTCAATTATTATATAGCAAGAAATTTAGCTAAATGTTTATATATACATATGTGTTTTTGTTATGTGTATATGGACGTGTGTGTGTTTGTGCATGTGTGTACACACATACACAATTGTCAAGTTAGGGTTTGTTCTGTGTTTACATTTCTAAACTCTGGATAATGGGAATTCTTTGGATGACTGTTTTACTTTCTAGTTGTCTAGTTATGGAAACTACTCTTCAAAAGATTTATTAATTTTATGTGGGATAGTTTTAGAGTATGTTTAAATAAGTGCATTAGTTTTTTAATAATTTATATCGTGACCAATTAGATTATTTACTTTTTTCTTTCCTATCAACTAATATTACTCAGATCATATTTGATTTTTCTGTTTTAATACCTGCTCTCTGATATGGATACCACTTATAGCAAAAATATAAGTTTTTTTAGTATGATAAAATTATATTTAATGGCAGGAAAGCAGCCTAGTAAGAAACCATCATTTTTAAAGCTATATATAAAATCTTAATTAAACATGCAAATTCTAGCATGGTTTTGAATTGGAAAATTATATGGCACTAAATTCCATAGTACAAGAAAGGGAAAAAGTTTTTTCTGAGTTTGATATTTTGTTGTTGTTTTGTTTTTAGATAGGAAGTAGCATTGGCAGTTGTGAGTTACATAGGCTTTATGCAGAGAGCATACTATGCTATAGAGACTTTAAAAAATAATTTGCCACCACTCCCAAGCACTTTTGAATTTATATACCTACTTTCTGATATAGAAGTATTAATTTACTTCCTTTCGTTGCACTTCTCAAGATAGAAATGGTGTTAAATAGAAGTTATGTATAAATTTGATTCACATGTAGTTACAAACTTAAAAGCTACAATTGAAAAAAAATGATCCCAGTGTTCAGATAAATCTGTTTTCTCTTTTTGACTATTATAAATTTCATGCCATTATTTATCTTACAAATATTTTCTTTAAAGCACGGTTCTTTTTGGCATTGAAGTTTTGATTCATTGTATCACAATTTTCATCACATAAACCAAATCCAGTAGTGTATTTTACAGTGTTTTCCCCTCACAGTGCTGCTAAAGAAATGG